GTGAATGAAAGGAACCATAATTGCAAAAATTCATGGCTGCAATGCCCTAGTAGTTACGGTAATAAAATGTTGAACTTGTGCTATGCTTGCATCACAGGATGAAAATCCCATTCTCACCACATCAATCAGGGTGTGATATATTGTATAAGCAATTTTGAACCAAAAGAGTAGCTGCTTGCATATCAGTAAGTGCTTATGCAGAGCCTTGTTAGGAATTTGAGGCATGTAGCACGCATTGAAAACATTAGTACAGCGGTTCTCAAACGGTGGGGCGCGCCTCACAAAGAGGCATAGACAATTTTTTGAGCAGGCGTGAAGCTAATTGAAAATAAAAATATTTGTTAGGTTTGATCTTGCCCGCCTTATTTTGGATATTTACATTTCTTATTTTGTCAGCCAAAAACAATATTGAAAATAATGACAACTTTTGCTTTTCTTTAAAACTTTCCATTTCATTAGTTTCATTATTTCATTAGTTAACATGTTTTTTTGAATAATGCCATGGATAATTTGTTATTTGTAGCTTATTGTTAGCTAGGTAGTTATTTTTGAGGTGGGCCGCGAGACTTGTCAAATTCTAAAAAGAAGGTGCGGCTTAAAATGTTTGAGAATCACTGCATTAGTAGTAAAGTTGAGTAATTTGGATTAGGATTCATAGTTTATTCACCATTGAATTTATATTTTTATCATATTGGGTTTTCTCTCACCCATTAATAATGTAATGGCACTGTGTATTGTATAGATTGGAAAGTTCATTTATCACTGTTTTTAAAAGCACTCGTCCACAACATAATGAATTCGTTATGTATAGAAATATTTTCTGTATGTTTGGTGTTTTTCCATCATTTATTCTTTGTAGAGTCGACTTTTGTTTACTATGGTCTTGCCTTTGTTTACTTCGGTTTATCATTAATCATAAATATCTTCAACAATATTTTTTTGGACATATATTATTTTCTTGTTTTTTATTTTACAACTGAAATTAAATTATAGAAAGTATGCTTTTAACTTTTAATTTTGCATTTTTTAATTTTTGTTTGTAAAAATTTGACATAGGTTTAATGTGTGAGTATGTGATACCTTACATAAAACACATAAGTTCTTATACAGGTTGTCTATAAAGTCTCTTCAAAAAAATTCTCATTTTTGTAATAATTTTTATAAATTACTTGGCTTCATTTATTTAGATTTGGTTATGTAAGTTACCACAAATATTCAAAAAGAAACGTTACCACCCTTCTCTAATTATTATCTTTGCGTATTCACAATTCATATGACAAAGAACTTCATTTTGTGATTGAAATTTGTCATATTATTATTATTGTTCTATTGTTTATGGATTTTGTGTCTGTTTGCACAAAGATCTAAATGAAAATTTGTTTGAATAATGAATATTTTCTTTGACAACAACTCGAGTGCTTTGCACTTACTATACATTTCGGTAAATCTACTTTAGGTTTGACAAAAAGGATTTTTGAAAGCTGATGGCAGAAATGCTAGGCCATTGTATTATATATTTATATCAAAAGTGAAGTTATTTTCAAAATTTCGGATATCCAGTATAGATAATATAGGGTGACCCAAAATGTCATTTGAAACATATTTTAGAGAGAACATAACTTAATGCAAAGCGTCCGAATTTACTGAAACTTTTGGGTACAACCATACACAAATAACTGTTCAAGGGTTAATGAATAAATAGATTTTTGTAGAAGTCATTAAAAGAATTTATTGATTATTTTTTTTAGGTCACTCTGTATTAAAGTTGTCAAAATTGTCTGAATTCATATTATTTAATTAATATGTTATTGATTGTAATACTAAATGTTTTACATTGTAAGTGTAACCTCAAAAAGTTAATTACCATGTATTAATATTATTTAGGGGCGCTCCAGAAGTGTGTGTACCAATATGGAGGTAACTAATTTTGTTCGTCTACTTTACATCAAGTTATGTAAGAGGACTGAAACCTATGGGCATATTCACTTGCCTAACACAGACAGTCCCCGAACTCGTAATAGAACTAAAATAAGGAAAATCGAAATAAAATTATGGCCTAACTCTAACCTGGTACATATACTACAGGAGTACTGATTTAGGTTGGTCAGTAATTAATAATTATAGACTAAGGATAATAAACAACATTAAAAATACAGAATAAATTTCAACTCAAGTAAATAATATGTTTATAACATTATACAGAATATTAAAATACCCATCAGAAAGTTAACAATATGTTGTATATCATTTAGATCTAAAGACTCAAGAGCAACTGTCCTTTCAAGTATCATTATGATTGGCTTAGTCATAGTCACGCATAATAATTCATTGTTTGTGATTCATTATTCATACCTCTAGGCTCCAGGGTAATATTGTCTAAACAGGTCAACATGCTATTGATTCTTTTAAATTAAATATAGGATAACAATTTCAACATCAATCAGAAATAAGTCTGTTCACCTTATCTATATACCATAACTAATGTCTGACTGGCCTTCCTGTGAAAGTGAAAGCAAGCATTTTTGTAAACTTTTTTGTCCCCTTGGGAGTTATGTAATTTTTTGTGCAAATAGCAATGTATTTTTCCCATATGTAATTTGAATTTACGGTACATAAAAATAAAATCAAAATGCCAAAAGTGGAAAAATGAAAGAATGGAATATTGTCGTTTTAAAAATCTTGTTGCATAATTACACAATGTCAGACAAAGTTATGACTTGGTCAGGTTAGAATATTTCAATATTTGTGAATCAATAGAAGCAAACAACTCAGAATATTCATCCTTATTCATGCTAAGGCATCTTTGTGATTTTCTAATTGAAATCTATATATTTTCACACTATGCTTATTCACGCCTTTCTCTTCGAACAAGGCCCTGTACAAGCAGACAACAATATGTGAAGAAATAATATTATATTTGGAAAGGCCGATCAAGGCTGGCCTGGCCCGGCAATGCCTACCCAATTTATTACAACTTGGGTGAGGTGTGTTTTGAACGGTTTAATCTAACGCTTTATTAACGCTAGGCTGTTGCGCAACCCAAAAATAAAAGACAAGATGGTGAGATCTGAGAACGAAGATGTCCAAAACGAATCGAATATTTGAATACATTTGAAATTGATTATATTTGATTTACTAAATTCTTGATTTCAGAGATAATTTAGAATATTTTCATTTGAAAACGTCTTTTTAATTATTAATTATCTTATGATAGACAAAAAATTACCGTAAATAACTTCTGACAAAATAAAATAAAGAATACTAATTAAAACAATGTTTATCTCAATTATACTGCATGAAAAAATTTGATTTTTACAAGTTTACAATTGTCTTGAAAAATTTCTCTTGTGGAACGAACCTATTTCAGAATATATTTGATATTCCATATTCGAAAAGATTATTTTATAATGTATTCGGAATATCAAATTATTCGGCTTCGGCCTTCCCTGTATCGGCTGTCTGAGATGTTACTTGTAAGTTGTATCTCTAACCAATAGTGATAATACATGTTATATATTATTAGGTAAATATTGGTTTCATAAATACATAAAATCACTGTTTTTCTCAGCTTTAAATAGTTTGCAATGATATAGAAGTTCCTTAAGAATGTTTACCATCAAAATCTTTGCTTTCTCCTCAATAAACCAGTTCATCTACATAAGTGGATAATCAAATTTAAAATCAATCATGACATGTTACAACTTTCTGCCGTCACATTATGGAAGTCTTACATGATTTTACATGTCAGGCGACAAGGGGCGGTATTAGAGCTTGTTATAAATTTTCATAATCTTTACGCTTTAAATATTATTAAATATAAATGAGGTAAGACATTGCATCTTACAATATTACTGAACTGCTTGGATTTTTAGAAATACATTTTGTTTGAATTGACTAATTTTCATAAAAATTTGAACTATACACTCAATATGAAGGGTGTAATAATCATTAAATTTGTTGGGTTGCAAAGGGAATTTATCGATACCATATTATACAGTTTGTTGGCCTGTAGGTGTATTAAACAAAGTAAAGGACTTAAATAAACATGAAATAAAATAAAATAAACCTAGTTAACATATATTGAGAAATGACTTCATAACAATTTTGAATTGTAACTGGACTTTATGAACAAACACCCTGGGATATATCATGGGGAAAAATAATTTCATTATCTTTTTATGAACTTCATTATTATTATCCATTTGGGATAATTATGTCTGAGTGCTTGGTAGATATCATGCCTTGAATTTGAATTCAATTTGATAAATAACATACTGTCTAACAGTCATACATAATTAATGAAACATAATTTTGGTGCCAAGTAATATTATCCTGAATAATATTAGAAATTCCTTATTCAAGGTTATATCTTATTAAACAGCTTGCACTCTTCTTTGGAGTTACAGAATAAAAACACATACAATCAGGAATTTATGAAGAATTTATATGCAAAAATCAATGAAAAGCTCAATTTTGAAAATATTTCTAATTTGTTTTGTTGAAAAATTGGCAGTTATAGATGAATCATTGTCAATCAATATCTCAATTTAGAATACTTCAAGGTGCAAAAATTGCCAGAGAAATAATTGCCAGAGAAATTTTCTGAACTTTTAAAAATAAAATAAACATCAAAATATAGATATGTTCAGATAAATTTCTCCTTTCAGTGTTTATACTTTGAGGACAACAACTCAATAAAACAGAAAATGAGACTTTAAATAAAGATAACCAACCAGATTTGTTTTCAGGATATGATTTATTATTTTCACCTGTAGCAAGGCTATTTAGCAGTTTAACCAACTCAGGAATTTTTCGTCAAAACAACAGAAGTTGCACAGTGTGGCCTAAAAACAGAATCGAGGTCATTTAGAACATATTCCAGAGAGAACCTAACTTTTGTTCCAAGCGTCCTAGATCAAAATTTTAATTAAGATTGTTTATTTATGATGAAATTTTCCGAATTGCAAACATTCTTTTTCATTGAATACATTACTTTTCAGCCGGGAACTGAAAGTTATTCAACATCAACAACACCTGATCATCAAGTAGAACCTGTTGTCGTACGACAAGAAAAGAGAAAGGTGAGATACGTTTCTCATTCATTCCTAATTATAGCCTGATGGTAATACCTAAAAAATAAAATATCAATTAAATTTCAATTCAAGTAAATAATGTCAGATGTTGTTTATGTAGTAGGTGTGCCATAATATTGTTTCAAAGTGAGATAATATAAGGTAACTGTTCAAGTGTATTCAATAAATTAGGTTTGGAACTTTTCAAAAAAGCATGGGTACATAGAGCAGTGGTTCTCAAACTTTAATGATTCCAGTTCTCTTTGATAACTCAACTTTTATGATGCCTCCATCTGCAACAAAAACAGCTAGCTTTTCTTTAACGCATTCTCATCTATTATTTCATGTTTAATGATAACAACAATCAATAAATAAAATTAAAAGAATACATGCCTTACAATTGAAGAATTAAGTTGCATTTTCAAGTGAACTTCGTGGCCACCCAATTGGTTACATATCGTTTGAGAAACTGTGGAGTATCTGCATGAAGATTTTGAAGTGAAAAAAGGGAAAGGCTACGCTTTTTTCCTTTTATGGTATTTAGAAAACAGAATAAAAAAACCACATAAAACTTTCAGTTATGTTTCACTTCAATATAACAAAATTTTAGACTATGTTTATTAACAAATTCCCAACAAGTATTTGTTTTGTAGGAACAGTTGTGAGCCACGAAATTTGAACTGAAATATTATTTCATTGAGATGCCTTTCATGGGCCTTTTTAATCCAGACTTGATTTGGCCGTGCAAAATACATCAAGTTTTCTAGCTGCTTTTGTGGTCTGGTGTTTGTGGAAATAAAATATCATTATTTCATATCTCTTTTGACTCATCTTTTTGTTTCATGTCGTTCATACAATAGCAGCATAGAAATTTAATCATCATGAATTCTAGCACTTGCTGTGTGACATTGTATTGTATGATTAATTCATGATTTTAAATTTTAAATGCTGTAAGGTAGCTTTCCTATAATGAAATGTTTTGTAATAACCCTACATATAGCAGATGAAACATGAGCATAAAAATCGTGTCCACTCCTAAAAATTCTTAACTTTCATATAAAATTTTCAAAGCTGAATAAGCCTTGCATACTCACCTACATCTCAAATAATTAGGGAAACACTAATCAAATATTTTAATAATGCACTTTAATATTGGGCCGAATGTAGAGTAACAGTTCAATAATCTACTTTTGGCTTACCCTGTATATTCAATATAGTCAATTTTTGATTTTAGGACTCCAACTATTCTCTGTTGAGAGTGTCATCTTGAGATACTGACTAAAAAATAGGTTTCTTGATTACTATCAATGATTGCAAAAACTAGGAAGACATTAAAAACTTGTTTGTATTTATACATCATCAAATTCAATCAGCAATTCAATAAACGTTGATTTTTGCATGGTATGCTCTCTTGTTGACATACCCAAATTTGGAATATATTATCTCAAAATGCATTCAGGATAGCTAATTATTTGATTTTGGTCATCCTTAAATTGCTCCTATCAAATCAAACTGCAAAAAAGTATCATTAAATATTACCCCCATAAAATAGTTAATTGATAATGACAATTGAAATGTGAACAAAAGCAAATAAATAGGAAATTGGGCACCTTCCAACTTTGCAACACAACTCAAATTCATCCTTTCAAACGTAAATCTGGCGGTAATCCAGTTTGCATTCCCAAGAGAAATGGAATGTCACCGACTACACAACAGGAAAGCAACTTTATGTTCAGGGAATGTTTATTCCTGGGTTAGTATGGCCGTGGTTGTTCTATGTTACCATCCATTTTTAAAACTGAATTTGATCTACTTTTTCTAACCATTAATGTGAAATAACATGTATGATTCATAAAAATCATAGTCACGAAATTGTGTTAATATCACATTTGTTTGTTATTTCAGGCTTGTAATAATATACAAAAAGTTGTTGGTTTCATTTATTTACATTTCCTGTTTAATTGATAGTCTTCATTGGAATTTTTTTTGAGTATTAATTGATGTTGCGTTTATTATCAGGTATATCTGCTAGTGTTATTTATTTACACTAGCTGGGGAAATGCACAAAACCATAAATTTGCTTTCCATAGACATGAATATAAGTTTTTTTCGATGTACTGGATTCGTTTCTGAAACTCGTTATATTTTCATGATTAATTTCTTCAAGTAGGCCAGTATGCAACTTTTTCTGAGTTGCTGACCATGCGTTCAAATTTAGAAATTCAAATCCGCGAGATGGCGTCAGTGATCCACTGTAACCTACATTTTACAGTTTGCTTTTTAACCTAAATCACGCTTACCTCTGATAAAGGTTGTTTTCTCGACGTCGTTTTGAACTTCGTTATTTGTGTGATGTAATTTGCTCAGAAAAATAAAATAAAACTAGGTCTTTACCAAATGACCATTCGATTAGAGAACAATATTTTTTTTAAATCGTCAAAAACGTTGCGTCGTCGTTAATTATGCTTTCTTTTAACCAATGGACCTTTCTCCTTTTTGGTAAAATATTTCTACGTAATTCAACTCTAAAGTGTTTTTGACATTTCGAAATTATTTTGCATATGCCGTATTATCGTGCAATAATTCTTATATAATATACTGTAGGAGCCTGGGGGCGAGTTATTGTCGCAATTTTCTGAGTAGCCATAATACTGAAAAGACTAAAAAGAGTTGACTATATCATTTATACTGTATTTGCTATACTGGGTGTTTGATTTCGCGAAGCCACGCGAAATTGTGAAAATAAAATAACCTTGCTAACCATTTTTGTTATCATTGCTAGTACTAAATCATTCACGAAACAAGCTTGATCGGTGTCATATTTACAATCCGCCAAACTAGATTTGGACGCTTATCCAGGAATGCCATTTTTGCCAACTTATACGAAAATAGAAAAATGTTATATATTGTAATATGAATATACCAAAATGGGGGTGTCGCTCGCCAATTTTGTTAAGATTTCTAGTACTTAATCATTCACGAAACAAGCGTGATCGGTGCCATATTCCCGATCGGCCAAACTAGATTTGTGCGCCTATCAAGGGATGCTATTTTTGCCAACTTGTACGAAAATGGAAAATCCGTATATATTGTATTATAAATATACAAGACTTCATTTCCGTGGGAATGGAAACAAAATTTTACTTAATGTAAACGATGGCGGTATTGCACGATTTGCAAATAGATTTTGTGTTTATAACACATTACACATTTGACATTACAGTTTTTAAACCAATTTCATGAGACTGTTATGCGCAAAATTTTGTGCGAAAATTGCGCCGTACCTTGGATTTTTACCTTGGATCATTTCTTTGTTAAGATACATTTTCGTTTACCGGTAAAAAAGCCAGGTTGTATAAAAACTCCACGTGCAGAACCGATATTCATTTTGTCTTGGGTCTGCAGGTATTTCGACGCGCCTTATCCCGTATCGCTATTATATTATTTCGCGACATATTTAAATTTTCTAAGCTACGTCCTCTCTTTATCCGCCTTACGGAAACCAATTTCGCCTTATGTTTGTTTATGTAAAAAATTGATGGAGCAATATTCAATTTCTAGTTGAATTTGAACAAATTAACTTCTCGTGGAAACCAGAATTAGATATTGAAGTAGGATAACCGGAACGGAAAACTTCTAAATTCGATGAAATGCATTGTTTAGGACTGTTATATTGTGATATCTTTCGTAAATTTGTTTGTCGAATAGTGAAGCATTATCGATAGTTAGTGTCTCAAAATATTTGCTAATGTATGAAATTTGTTTGTCTTAAGTTATATCACCCATTGACCGATTTCGCCACTTCGGGTTACATTATTCACCCAATTTTTAAATAAAACCATTTAAATCTGTAATCTTTTTGTGAAGGCTTTCCTAATAAAATGATCATGGCTGTTAGTGTGCATTTAGAATTTCTCCAATATAACCATGGTTCAATGCCGAATTTGCCTAAAATTTTGAAATTTGTAATTCTAGTGGAATTTCGTATAGACTTTTGAAAAAGCATTTGTATACAAAAAAAAACAGTAGGACGACGGGTAGCGAATAATTTGTTGTTTTACCGTTTTGTACTGGTATACACACACGCTTTCGTTCCTTAATTACGACATACTCTGGGCAAAATCACCTTTTCCTATACCTTACCCCGCTATGCGCTGTTTTTCCAATTATGCAATTCCTAAGGGGGAATCCATATGTCCCTTGGTAATGTCTTGTTTAATTGATTTACATTGAATAAACAAAGATTTTGTATGGTTATGATAATTTTAGGAAGACTAGGTAATGGTGCTAAACATCAAAGTGAAGGATATTAAAATTGCACGATATACCTACGCAACATCTCGGACGTAAATGATTTAAATTTTAAACGATACAGATCAAAACTTGCATTATATTTATTAGCCGTGGTCTTCACATGTTTATTCGCATTCTAAGTGAATTTGTGTTGTCCCATCAGTAATACAGCATTTGGATATCTTGTCTGGAGATTATAGGTCTCTCCTGATGAGAACTTTTTCCTTGTCCATGGCAATATTTGTGTGCGAGTGTTGAGTCAGAAACGTCTGCCCGTAATCATGATATTTTCATTCTAAAAAGTAACAATTTTACCGTTATACTCCATCAAATTCAATGCCATTACCATAGAATTATTTTTTGGGGGGCTAATTTCCACCGATTAGTATACGATTATAATCTACTGCCCATTGCGAGCGAATGCCGACGTTTCCGAGGCTGGAGTTTGTATCATTTATATATATGCTGATTGTTTGCTTGTAGGCACTTACAACTCTTTAACGGGGTGAATGTTAACATGAGTACAAGAGTGAATCACAACTTGGCCATAGATAGCAATCTATATGAAAGTAAATCCCTTCGATTATGGACGATTTTGACTCGTGCGTGCTGTCGATCGCCGCATGGTCGCGAAATATTTCAAGCAAGCCAACTTTTTCTTCAAATCTCTCGACTGGTTACGTGACCAAACTACCTAAGCGGCGGACGTTATACTT